CCCCCCCCCCCCCCCCCCCCCCCCTTCCATCTGGGGATTTCCCCATGAGACACCTTGGAGAGGAGCAGGAGACAGGGAAGCCTCACCCACTCCGTCTGGGAGCAAAGCAGGGGAAGTCCAGGTGGGTCACTGGTGCCTCCTGGAGGGGTGGGGGGGCACAACTGCTTGCCTGGCCCTCTTGAGTCATAGGCTGAGCCCAAGGGGTGCTCAGCTCTCTGGGGCTCCTCAGGAGCTGCAGACTAAGCTTTCACCTGGCAGGCGAAAAAATTCCTGATGAATTTTTGGCGGGGGTGTTCCAGATGATGTGGTCCTCCATTTGAACTCTCCCACCACTTTTTTTTACAAAGCATTCATGAAACCAGGAACAGCCACACGGAAATCTTCTGACTTGCTATGCCGAACCCACCTGTCTGGACATGCCCAACGGAGTCTGGCAAGGAGGGTGGGAAGCCATGCTACTCCTGGGGGGCTCAAGGGCGGCTGTTGGCCGACTGTCCTCCCACAGCACAAGGGGCTCCTTCCCCGCTCTCGGATGGGCCGTGCCGTGCTCAGCACCTCCAGCTCAGCATGATGAAACCGCAGGGGTGCTGGGGTCTCCCTCCCTCCCTCCCTCTCTCCCAAAGCACTGCCACCTAAGGGTGCCACATTCGCAGGCTTACCACCGCTGGGACGAAGGCCTCAGCCAGCAGGCTTGTGCAGGGAAAGGGGAATGTTTTGTTAAGAAGGCTTGCCCCCACCCCTGTGCCCCCCCAGGCAAAGGGAGGCCGCACTCTTGACCATTGCACAGACAAAGGAGGAGTTGGTGGTGACAGATGGCTAACCCCCTCTCCCCTCTGCCCGGCCCTCCTCTCTTGGACATTACTGCAGTGCAAAACCGGGGCACTCCCCATCCAGCCAGGATGCCTGGAAGCTCCTCGGATAGCCTGTTGTGGCAAAAAGGCCAAAAGGCCTTCCAGGCTCATCCGGTCCTTGCAGCGCAGGGCCCCGCATCCGAGAGAGGAGAACCACCACGGCTGCTGCGTCCTCCTCGAGGGGAGGCCTGATGGAAAAGAAAGCGCTCTGGGAGTATCCCAGCCAGGTTGCCGGGGCTCCCTGGGCCAAGACAGCCTCCCTGAAAGACCAGAGCGCAGGGCCGGACCTACGCCTGGGGTTAGCCAGACAAAGACGATGGCTCTGGGCCTGGGCAATGCCCAGGCAGCGGGCCTTCGACGAAAGCATGGATCAGGAGGTGCCCAGGTTGGCGACCTCTGGCCCTGCTAGGAGTCCAAAGGACCATCGCTCCCAGCCTGCCCCGCCCTCCCAGGGTCTCCATCCCATCCTCCCCGCCACAGGCAGAGCGCCGGCCAGGGAAGGCAGGCAGTGGGGGAGGCAGCGCCTGAAGGGGCGCCGCGCGGGGCCCCCGGAGAAGGGAGGGCCAGATGCGCCACGGAGCGCCTGCTCTCGCCGCCGCGCCCCC